CCCCAAGCTTCCCTTTCTGCCCCGCAGGGTTTCTCTTCTCTGTAAATTAGTGTTCCTGGACTTCTTGTTCACTTGTAAAAACTTAAAGCTCATGAAGCCGTTCTTGCCTCAGATTTCTTGAGGATGGGAACTTCTCTTTTCTTCTTGGAAAATCATCTTTCGTGTTTTCTGAACACAGCACATAATAGGGACTGCACATGTATTTGCTGAAGGTAGTTGCCTTTCAACTGCCTGATTCACTGGTGTTTTTTCAGGGACTTTGTTGGAATGTCTTTAGCATTTTCTCTGAATTGTCTGAGACCACACTCCTGTTCACTGATAGTGTGTCTGGCTCCTGACTTTGGTTCATTTTTTCTACATCTGAGATGCTAGAAAAACAGATAATTAAGCACTGTTAAACTGAACTCTATATGCATTGGAGGTTGGACACAGTGATTTCTAACTTCCCATTTAAACCTATTAATTAGAATCAGTAACCATATTTCACTTACATTTTTAAAATCAAAATTTTATTTTAAAAAATATAGTAGGTCAAAATGTGTGAAATGTGTATAAAATGTATGAAAGAGTATACAAAAAGAGAAAACCTGCTCTCATCCCACTCCTGCTCCATTATTCTGCTAATAAAAATAACGACTTTTATTATATTCTTTCTTCTTCCTCTAGTATTTCATTATGCAGACGCATTCAAATATACATAAACATGCAAATGTTGTGTATGTTAAGGAACTGTTTAGTGTGATAATATGAAGGCAACATTGTCTTGTGGAAAACGTATGTTGTGAGAGAGCTGTATATGAAGGGTATGCCCATTGTGACTCTAGCTGTGAGAACTGTCTACAGATAAGACTGTGGATTTGGAGTGATGTCTTCTTTTCTCTGTCTTTAAACTTTCTGTAATAATAATTGTTGCTTAAAATTATATTGAATGTACATACAAAGTAAATAATTTTGAAAAAATCAGGTAGTATATTAGTTTACTTTTTCGGTTTTGGTAACTAAAATTGTGACATTAACTGGAGTTCTGAATTATTTGTTACAAACATTTGAGAGGAAAAAATTTTTAGAATAAAACAATCTTATAGGACAATTCACATGCTCTCTTTTTATAGAATCCCTGTAAGGTTAAGGACCTGATTAGTTGGCCTGGCTGGAACTACTACTCCTGACTTGTAGAGCATGGTTTTCTTTACTGTTCTTGTGATTTCTGATCCTTTGGAATGTGTCTTCTTTTTAAGTTCTAAAATATCATGCACTTGTACGTCATAATGGTCTAAGTTGGTTGAGAGGATGCATAATGTCAAAATACCACTCTGGTTATAGTAATGTATTTAAATGAATTTTCTGTTGTTAACCACAAGCATATCTAGATACAGGAAGAAAAGTAGATCATAGTAATCATGGCAGTATTTCCTGTGAGTGTGTTTGCAGATGCAGTGTTCTACCCGGGGCATGATTCCAGGTTGAGAATCACTGTGGTGTACTCTTTTTTTTGCCTGTACTTCTTTTTCTTCATTTTTTTTTAAAAAGATTTTTCAGTTGATTTTTAGAGAGAGAGAAAGGGAGAGAGCAAGAGAGAGAAACATCGATGTGAGAAGTGGGCTGCCTCC